TAAATTAATGACTCTGAGAAAGGGAACCAAAATGTAAATAATCAAAGCCCCTAAGGGATAATCCTTCCAGAAGTGGATTTACAAATTGCTGTGGGGACCCAGATAAAGGTGAATCAGCACCAAAGAGTCAGAGATTTCATTAAAGCAGGTGAGACAGGATTTGGGCCTGGAAAAGAGCAGAAGTAGGAAGTCTGGGAGAGGCAGATGAAGAGGACGAGGCAGCTAAGCACTGGTGTCCGGGAAATACCAAGGATTTTTATGACATTTGAGTTACAGCCCATTAATGTCTGCAGATTATTATGTAACATTTCTTGAAACTAAAAGAAACTTGAGCTCGAGTTTAACTAATGGCAGCCTAAAAGTAAGCAAATTTCTTTACTACAGGACTTTTCCAAGCATCTAACATGCCATGTACATGTGAGTTCTCAAAAGAATGACATATGTATTTCAATTGCTGTGATTTTTTCTTTAACTGTTTTCTTCTTAAAGTATGTGTCACACCTCTCTCATTCTGTTTTATACTCTTTTGGAAAGTAAAGGCCAAAGTATAGTATATTAGAAAAGGAACTAAAAGACTATCTAGAAAAATAGGTTGGCACTTAACCATAAATCACAGAATCTGTGAAAAACATTAAGATGTCATTTAATTATCTTAAGAAATTAGTGAAGGATGTTTAATAGAATCATTCAGTAAATATATTATTTGAATCTCACTATGCAGTGAAAGAACTTGAGTAAGAGTATAGATTTACTTTTTTTTAGCGAGCAGTTTTTTTTAGTTTATTGCTATATTTTAGGTATATGGTACAGTTACATTCATTATTGGGGATCTTGTACCTTTACCTGACAGGTCTTGGTTCTCATTTTTTCTCCTTATCCCTGCCCTAGATTTAAATCACATTTCAGAATTAAATAATGTAGTAACTTTAATCTAGGATCTTTTTAAAATTAGTGATTGTAAAGATCACTTAGAGTATTTGCAGTGTCATTCTCAAGGAAGCACTTAGTAGAAAACCAGTGTGAAAGTTATCTGTTTTATAAATAATTCATGTACTTTATATATAAGTAACACCAGTTCAACAGCAGATGTGCAGTGTCTGGAGTGGTGATACCACCAATTGGAAGGTAAATTCGATTTGGGGAGATACGATGAGTAAATAAAAACAACTTTTTTAAAAAGTAGACTGCACATAGGCAGTTCAATCAGAGAAGGTCTATGGTTCCCAAATAGTCATGTTCCTTTTGTTTTTCTACTTTACCATCCTGTATGCTGCCCTTGGTCTTCAAGATCACTTCATAGTCCAAAATGGCAGCTGTAGGAAAGAGGGAGGGCAAGCAGATTTTTAAAAAATTAAAAAAAGGCTTGATGCCCAAATAAGCCATTTTCCTTTCAGCTGGATGATGGTCTCACTACCACCTTTAAATGAAAAACTGTTTGGAAAATGTAATGGATTACTTAGATTACTGCTTGGATTACTGCTACCCAGACTATACCAAGACCCGGTACGAAGGAGAAATAAGGGGCAGAAATCCTTATGACAGCCTGAAGTCTTTGCTACAGTATTGTCATTTAACCCTAGGGAATTTAGAAATAAATATACAGATGAAAAGTTAGCTAAAATTATATCATTCGCTTAGGAATCTCCTGTCAGCAAATGCATATAATTAGTATTTTAATATTTTCAGTGTACAAGAGGGTTGGCATTTTGGAGAATCCAATGGATTAGTCAGTCCTATGATTACCACTTAATGCATAATTGCATAATTTGATAATTTATTCAATGTTCCACTTTAATTTCAAAAGTAGAAGAGAAGTTTACTAAATGTGCTAAGAGTGTACACGGTAAGGCATTTAAGAAGAACCTAAGTTTAATCATCTTTACAAATTTAATCTACAGTACTTCTTCAGATTTACTTAAGTAATTAAAAAATATTGTTTGTTAGAGTGCTCAAAGTCTTAAAAATAGAGCATTTCAAATTTTTTTCAGTTTACAATGTTTACACAATTTTAATGAGTTAGGTTTTTAAAACTTGATTTTAAAGTGATTGTTACGCTTTCACACACACATGTTGAGGATGGAGCCCAGGCCCTTGCACATGCTAGGCAATGGCTTTACCATTGTGTTACACACCCAGCCCTATTATGCTACATTTTAACAGTTTCTAAATTGAATGGAAAAAGACTAAGGAAAAATACTGGGTGTTTTCTGTAAAAGGTTGTATATTAATTTTTTAAATCCAGCAGACTAATAGTCTTCTGTGCATAAAAACTGCCCACAAAGGCATGAGCAAAAACTTTATACTAAAAGGCACGTGTTTATGCAAGATAATAAAATAAGAAGTCCAAATACTTTTTTTTTCTTTAAGCAAAGTGAGTTCATTGGAAGTGTTGGAGAATGCCATGATTACATTAGAGTTTTTCCAGTCAATTCTGTTGGCAATAAAGTACCCTTTCCTACTTTAGCCAGATGCCTACCCAGTTTTTAAAGCGCCAATTTCAACACTGCCTTCTTCACGAAATCCAAACCAACACACACTCCCGGGGAACAGCATCTCTGATCCCTGCATTTTACAGCCCCTCCATGAAAAGCTTCATTTCATTTGGGCTTTTATTTGGTTTTTTTGTTGTTGGTGGTGTTTATGTTTTTGTTTGCCTCTGTCTCCAGCAAACCATGAAGTAATACTATCTGACTCATTTTCTGATTTGTTTGTGCCCAACACAGAACCACACATGCCATAGCTATACACTGTACACATCAGCTGGGCAGAATGTGACCAAAATGTAAAGCCTAGGACTCCGTTTTGCATTCAGTACGATCTTATCAAGGTGTAGCTCTCACATAACATCATAGCTAAAAGAGGGCTGGTCTCTCCTTTCTTCTCACTTTCAAATATTTATTGCAGTTATAATTAAATACATAGCAAGTCATAGTTGTTCATTATTTTTGCCCAAGTTACATCTAGCACCAAAGAAAAAGAACTGGTTCCTTCCAGCATTTCCTATCAACAGGTTTTCAGCTGTGTGCTCACTTGCAAATGATTACACATTCTCAGGAAAGAAATGTGTTTGGGCTGGAAAAAGTCCCAGCAGGCCCACAGGGGGGGCATTTGATTCCTTGACGAAAAGCCAAGTTTCTCTGTCTGGAAAGGAGGAAATTACAAAAGGGGCAAAGGACCATTTGCTTCAGGGCCTAAAACAACACCAATTTCAGCAATGACTATGAGCAACAAGATGGTGGAATTAAATAATACGGAAAAAAATTTGCTGCCTATGACTTCCTTAGCTATTAAACAACTTTTTCTAAGTTCAAAATAATTCCCCAACCAGCAAAAATATTTTTGACAAAGTATATACTGAAATGAAATTTGGGAAGATGTTTTAAGGGATTTTAACAAAGTAAGACATAGCATCTTGGAAATGACAAATAAATATTAGCACAACAAAATCCTGAGATCATATTTGTATATAATATTTCCTCTTGTGTGAGTGTATATATCCCTTCACACCGCTCTCTCTTCTCCCTCCCCACCCCTCAATTACACTGTAAAAATAAACCAGCAGGAACTGCTTCTTAACATTTAATCATTATTCACCCTGGCTGTTGTAATTTTTTTTCTTTTCTTATTATAAAGAAATTTTTTCTTTCTATTGCCTATACTTCTAGCACATTAATTATCTTTCTTGTGACAAGCCCCTAGTCCATTTTTTCTGTGAAATCTGTAGCACTTAATGATGATTATTCTCACTTTGTAAAGGCTTTCGAAGGGACTTTTCAGATCCTGCCTAAATGAGGCTTCTTAAGCCATATGATGTGTTTAGATGGGAGCCCTGGTCTCTCAGATTTGATGAGCAGATCCCAGTGGTTTGTTCCTTCTGTGCTCAGCTCTGTGATTTCAACAGGAATAAAAAAAAGAAAGAAAAAAAGAAAAGAAAAACAAGAATAGCTATCTAGATAATAACAGGAACAAGCCAGAGAGGGAACATTCACCTGCTATATGCACTACAGCTGAATACAGTCATTAGTCACAGATGCCTGGTCATTTGAAATGGAGACCTCTCTGCCTGTTAGGTAGTCTTGGAGTTGAAACCAGGGTGTGTAAATAGGAGCTATTCTACTGAGGCTCAGAATTAGTAACTATAGCTTCTGATTCTCCCTTCCTGCATCTTCCTGTATTGTAAACAATCAGTACTTTCTCATTATGGTATCTCAGGTCTGCTTTCACTGGTCCTGCTCAGGAAGAAAAAAAAAACCCCACATACTATATTAACTCCTAGCTCTGAGTAAACAGAGTTGAGTCCTGAAAAGAAGTCATTGTGACTATTACTAAAAGAGCTTGGAAGACTTCCATCTTCGCTCACACTTGAGGGGAAAGTCATATTTCAGCCTTGCATTGTCAGAAGCATACAGGCCTTACCAGGTGCGGCTCAATTTGGGGGTTTCCACTACTATAATCTTCGCTCAAATTAGTGACACAGGCACAAAAGCAGGAGTCTTAAGTCAGGATCATACAGCAGACGACTTCTGGACTGCCTGTGGATGGACTCAAGCAACTAAAGTCTGGAATATCATGATTTTGACATAAACCTGAAGTATAGAAAATAAGTTTCAGCCTTTGTCACTAACGGTGATCAAACTGGCATCTTCTGCCCCTGGGAACCAAATGGGAAAGGAGTAATGACAACCAAAACCACACTAACACTTATTAAGAGTCCACTAACATGTTTTTTTCACTACTTCTTTCAAGCATTGCAATAAATTTATAAGGAAGACTTTTTTATTACTGCTTCCATGTTGAAGATATGGAGGAAATAAATTGCAAAGTTTCATTAACTTGTGCCATGAGCTTAGGAAATACTAGAAGCATCATGATCTATGGTAGAATTCCATTATCTCAGAGCCTGTGCCCATCACTGCCTCTTTCTCACCAGGTCCTCTCGTTCAAGAGCCCCAAATATACCAGCATTCCCCCCTCCTGTTGCCCACACCCCTTTTTTTCAGTGTAGCCAAGCCCAGGAACATACTTTTATGGAATTCAACAAGCTAGCCAGCATGAGAGAAAGAATCGCCAGACGCAAAATCTTTATGGTGTGGATAAGGTGTAAACGAGAAAAGAAATACAGTAATGGCACCTTCCATAAAGTGTCCAACCTTTGATTTTCAAGACAATCATGATCCTAAAAGGTACCCTGGTACTTCTATCTTTCAACTCTCATGCATGTCGTTCCTCTGCCTAAAATACTTGTCTTTTTGTCCCTTGTCTTGCCCTGCCCAAACTCTGACTTTACTCTTATTTTGGTTTCTGACTTAATTTAAAACTAGCTTTGGCTAAGAAGCCTCCTTTGACCCACACACACACCTCATTTTTATGGTCTGCACTTTGCTTATTATAATAGGTATTATTATTTTTCATACTGTTTTATTTTATTGCCCTTCCTTCTTCCCGGATTACAGATTCTGTGAAAGTCTGAAAGCACCTCGTTCGTCCTGGGCCCAATGTGCGTAACTGGTGAATGAAAGAAGAAATGAATGAGGGAAGCAGCAGCATATTTGCTGAGAGCAGAGAACAGCAAATCCAGAAATTCATTTTAGAGGCAAGAGAAGTGTCCCTTTCCTGAAAACTCTACAAAACAAGATCAGCAGTTTCGAAGAGGAGTTAACCGCCCTTTCCAGGTCCCTTCTAGTCTACAATTCCGGTATTTTTTAAAATAAATCTGCCAATACAATTTTTAGATTAATAATAGCACTGCAATCATTATTTTGCCACTTGAGTAGATGAGCGTCTGAGACAGAGGTGAACAGCCGGCCTGGCCTCCATCATCTAATCAAGCCCTGAGCAGCCCTTGTCTTGAGGTAGCATGGCCACCATTCCACTTCTTAGCATTATTTCCATCAGAGAAAAGAGGCAATAAGGAGATTTTTGTTAAGTAGAGCTCTTTAGTCTGTGCAATTTTACCCTCACCGCTGATTAATTTACCAGCCTCACATTCTTTACTCGAGGGTATGTAAATTGTTTAAAAAGTTGAAGTCCCATATTAGTTTTGTGAAGTTCTGCAGAAATGTTTGACTATGTTCCCCTTAAAAATAACTGATTTAGAACATCATGCTTAATCTGTCAAGACTGTTGATTTATCTGCAACTTCTTTTTGGGTTACCAGGGATCAAACTTGAGTCTTTGTGTTTGCGAGGCAGGTGACGGCATGCAACTTCTTCCTGTGTCAAAATAATTGGATTGACCAGTTTGGTGGACAAAAATAAAGGGTGTAATATACCTTTCTAGATTGATTAAGGACCATTGTGAATGGAAGGTTATATTATTTTCTTATATGGCTAAAATATACCTTTCTGTTGAGTTTTTAAACTAGAATATTCAACAAAAACAAAAAAATGAAGATAAAGCATGGGTCATTAACATGAAATTCACCTCCTAAATTCTGATTTTTTTTCAGAGTCACCTCAACCTATGTTTGCCGGTTTTAGCTGAGAAAGTTGAGAAATATATATATATATATTTTGTTCATCTGATGGTAATTTTAATTTTTAGTCTTGATTATCTTGATGAAGTAATGTTCTCTTAGAAGAGAAAATATAAAGAGCCTAAAAAGTAAACTGAACTATGAACTTTTCAGCTACATAAATCCAATAAAACCATTGCGCTGTGTGGAGTCTTTGGAGATGGCCGTTCCCTCTTGAATTTCCATTATAACGTCCGTAGTACAGCTAATGCTTCATACGAGTCAGAACAGAGAACACAATCTTTATTTCCTCTGGATGGATGTTTAAAACTCCTTCACCTGGCCCCTGGGGCCCCTTGGGCTCTGCCCTTTGCTTATCTCTCCAGGGGCAGCTTACCACATTCCTCTTTGCTGACCTGCAGTCAGAACTCCCATTTCTTCAAACACGTTGCACATTCGTTTCCCTCGGGAACTTGAAGCACGCTCTTTCCCCGGGCTGCAGCTCTCCCCTCGCCCTTCACCTGGAGATGCTTCTGTTCCAGCTCAGTGGCAATACTTCCCGGCACGGGAAATTCCCTTCCACACAATCTAGCCACTGCGTTTCTCTGATCCAGCGCCTCACCCACCTCGTTGGTCCTACCTCCTGACAAGGAGGCTTCCCACTACTCTCTCCTTGAGGGAAGAGGTTGGGTTTGTTCAATACTGGTCAGGCCTCTTTTTGTTCTTTTTGTTGCAAGTGGTAAGACGCCTGCTGAAACTCACGGAAGCTCAGCAGTGATCTATTGGGTGCATATTCTGGCATTTCAGATACTCACTTGAAGTTGTCAATCCTCTCTCCTTATCCACTTCTTTCTCACCTGTGCTTCTCTGTACGTGTTATTCTTCTCTTTATTTTTGTCTCCTTTCGTCTTCTATACGGTCTATCTCTAGCACCTCTTCACCTCTAGTGCCTTAACTTTCATTCGCGCTTCTCCATTTGTTAGTAATCCTCCTTCTCATGGCAGAAACTACCTGCAAGTGTTAGGAGAGAGAGTCTGGAGTTGGAGTTTGGCTTTCACTATACACAGGTCTGGATGACATCATCTCAATGTAATAATCATGAAGGAAAAAAAGAGCCTTTCTTTCCTGGCACCCAAATGTAAAATCTAAGAAGAGTGGAGCAGTAAGTTTAATTCAATGCTCTGGGGTTGAACCATTGCTTAGGCCAATCATTGTAGCAAAAGGAAGCAACCACTAGGATTAATCAGTCTTGGGCATATTCCCAGCCCTGTAGAGCTGACCATTAGGGGAGAGGCACCCATCCCAGAATGAGTATTGAGGAGTTATAATTTCCTCAAACAAAAAGGGGTACTATTATTTGCAAAGAGAAGGATATGATACTGTAAGAACAAAACAATGAAGCTAACCCACTGTTCAACACAATACTTATATTAAAGACTTCTGTTATATAATCTAACACCAGAAATTCACCACTAGAAAGACTAGGTTACTGACTATCCTTTTATCATGCCTATTAGTTTCACCAGCATTGTGGCACACTATACCACATGACCCTGAAGTACCATACAAAAATACTGTAGCCAGTTGAAATACTTCCTTGCCTGGGAAAGGAAAAGCTAAAGTGTCATATTACATGATGTTTTGTCAAACACTAATTTCTTTAGTCTCCTGAGGAAACAGCATTTCATTTCAATTATAGCCTTAATATAATTCCCAGAATATACTCATTTTAAGATAAATTTAAATGTCTGACTGTCTGCGTTTATACAATTAAACACACAATCCCCAGTGGTGTCTTTCTAAAATCACACAACCTAATTTATTCCAAAACTGGAATCTTCATCAAATTCTTTATTTCACCAGATATGTAGATGGGACACACAAAAATAAATCAAAAAGCAGCCACTGACCTAATCACCTTGAGTATGGTACTGCTTGTCTTCTCTGTGTCAGAATAGTGATCACTTCAGTCATGTGTCAGTTTGTATTTCAAAGAGATAGGGTATCCATAAACCTTTCATTTTTCTTTCCGTTTTACAAAATGGACATCTTAAGACTAGCAGCCACACTATGTCTCCTATGTACATTTGATTTATATTCTCTAATTGGTTTTTGTCCACTAAACACATGAACTCGATACATATGAGGACAATCCTAAACGATGATTGTCATTTTCGAAGAGTAGATCTTAAATCCTAAGATTCACTGTTTCGACACTCAAATAAACTGCAGAGAGAAATGCTCTTCACCCCTAGTTTGGTAATTGAGCTATCAATGTTCAATCTTTAGGATGATTCGAGGAGCATCACACACATTATTGTTGTCATGGCTCAGTTTCACGTGGTTAATCTCACATACATATTCTGTTACATTCAGGTTGAAAAATTAGTCCATTAAAAAAGAGTCAGGTGAGAATTTTTTTTAAAAAGTTCAAATCTATGTGTCTACATTCTCAACATTTACTATTCCTAACTCTCCAACAAGGCATTTTAGATTGGATTAAGGAATACTCCATTAGTTTCTTTAAATGCTCACTGATGATCCAGGAAATAGTTTATAATAGAGTTATAATAGAGAAATAAACTTCATTTTGCCTCATCGGAACTATTAAAACATAATGCCATCAGTTAGGAGGTTATTCTCCTCTGAAGCAGCCATTTGGTGGTGTCCCAAGGTAGGCAGAGGGCATCCGCAGGGATTTCTCCAGACTTACCAGCCCTTGAAATTACACAGGGCATGACCTCCTTTGCTTTCTCTTGCTCGATTGCCACTGTTTGTGAATGTTGGAGTTCTGCTCAGGTGAAAAGGAGACTGAAAGAAGGACTGAAATACATATTGAGGTCATGTATGAGTGTAAGTTTTCCTTTGACCATAACCACAAATAATAAAGAGGATATTTTAAAGGTTAATAATTAAAGGTAACTCCACTCCTCGTCACCTTTGGCAGACAGGGAAAACAGGCAGGGAGATGCTACACTCTGCAATATTGTGGTTCTGAAGGAATGAGTGCTAACATAGCCTCCTCCCTCTTGGAAACAAACCCATATCAATTGGAAAGCCTTTATTTATTATGCAGAAACTGTGAGACACACAATATTCTGGCTGCTTTCGGAGACTGTTACCAACAGCTATGTCACCACCACCATCTCTCCCTCCTCCTCCT